CGTAAGTAAGAATTAGGTCCCCTCGGAGGCGACGGTGCTCCAGGGGAATGAGATCGAGCATCGGGAGATGCGTTTCGTAGTCCATGAATTTGAGGCCAGCAAAACTTCTCGTGGCGCCTCGCTGGGTACGCTCAATGAGGGTGACGTCTTTCGTGCGTCCTGAGTAGATAACTTGGCTGGCGTGTTCTCCCTGCGAGTATTACGGGGGAAGGTTCTTCAGATCATCCGTGAAGTGACGAATGCTTATTGGGCCGATTTCTCATGGTATAATGAGATGGACAAGTTTGAGGAGACCCAGATACCCAAATCCTTTTCGGCCTCTATCATCATGATGTTTTCTGGTCATTTTTCGCCCTGCATAAAGAAGTCGTTCGCTGAGTCTTCTCCAAATGACATATGAATACAATTTTCGTCATTCAGATGAAGGTGCCAGTCCAACAACCGCTGCTTTGCAGCTTCTACATCGATTTTGAGGGCACTGGTATTGGAACTCCAAGATTTCAAGTCGTCCGCAAAAAGTGGACACGGACTTGCAAGAACATCTGGGAGGTCGCTGACATAGATCAGTAACAACACTGGTACCAGGACGGAGCCTTGAGGAACTCCAAAGGCGACCGCCGCTGGAGAAGAGTAGGCAGAACCTAGCTTCACTCGGAATGATTTGTCTGATAGAAACTCGTTTATCCAGTGTAAGACGGCCTTCATCAAGCGACTGACGTAACACCAGGCACAAATGATTTGCCAGAGCAGATGGCTTTTTCTTTTGGATCCTTGGATGGATTTCAGTGTGCCTCAACGCGCAGAATGGATTGATCTTACTCAGGGGCTGACGAACGTTCTCCAAGACCAAGTCAGTAAGAGGCTGTTCGTAGTTACGTCTTGACAAGACTGGATGTGACGAGGACGCTAGGGTTGAATATAGACTTGCATAGTCCGTAAACCTCAGATAGCACTGTTAGGTCACCCGTGGGTTTGCCGTTCCCGTTCCGCAGGGAGAACGCGGATAACTTGTTTCTGTGGCGACGGCTCATGTATTTGAAAAACATTTTTCTGTTTTCCCGGCAAGGTCCAGAATGGTGACTTGTTTGCCCATGTTTCGATGGTGGGTTTCTGATCTACACAGGTTGCGCATTTCACGAGATGCCAGTTCATCTACTGTGCCTCCTGTAGTTACGTTTTTTAAAGAAAATTGAGACCTCGTTACCAGAAGACGCCGAATCCTTTTAGGCAGCCCGTAGCTCATCCGGCTGCGTGATGGTTGTTTTGACGAACATCGCGTCAGCCCGTAAACTTTCTGGACACTGGTCCTATATAAGCCTTCCACTGAACCTGTCCCTTTTTTAATTGTTCGACAAAGACGCGCATTCCTGAGAAGTCTGCATGGCAGAAGTTTCGAAACCACGTTTGAGGTTCGTGATACATGGCCCAATGGAAATGGTCGATATGCCCCAGTGGAGCGGTAATTGTTAACTGATCAACGAAGTGTCTTTCGTTGGTGATGACCAAATCCCGGAGGGATGGCAGTTGGCCTGCGCGGTATCTGGTGGGTGCAACGACATGTTGAGTCCAAGCGCTCTGTTGAACGACCCCAATCAGCGCTTCCGAAAACGGTCCACCTGATCCACGCTGGACCTCCATCCAGGAGGCCTTTGGAGCGTTGAAGTCACTTACAAGGAGATGAGTGAAGCGGAAGTTAGAGGAGAGTTGCTCACGATTTCTTGCGAGGAATCGGTCATTTTGAGGGAGACTCAAGCGGCTATGGTAGACCACACTGAGAAGGAGAGAGTCGGACCCGCGCAGCGGGATTTCGACCCACGGTGGACTGCAAAAGTGCAGGAGTGGTATCAAAGAAGACAATCGGGATTGTTGGAGCCGCATGTAAATACAGAGCACCCCCCAACAGCCCTCTCTCGTTTTGAGTCAGCTCGAAAAGCCCAGTAACCTTTATCGAGATCTATGCGTCAGAGACATCTGGTGTGAGCCATGTCTCCTTGAGTGCGATTATAGACGGTTGTTCAAGGCAACCTGACTGTTTAACATCTCCGGTTTTAATGTAATGGCTGAAGCAGTTGGTGGACAAGCATTTCAAAACCGTCTCCGCTGCCTCCAAGGGTGAGGAGCCGAGAGCTGATTGACCAAGTAGGTGAGCAGACTTGATAGTTGTGCACCGCGTCTGAATCGAAGGCTCCGAATGAGCCTCTGGGGCAATATCGTCTGCTTTCGTTCTTTGCACCTCTGGGGATGCTTCTCGCATGCAAGATTTTTTTCGCCCCGTGAGAGCCCGGTCTGCTCGGGCCTTTTAGCTCTGGGGGACGGAATGTTCCCCGTAGGTGAAAATTTCGATTACTTATGCTTGTAGCTGTTTCAGCGCCAGCCTTTTGGCGACCAGATTTGCTGTTGATCAAAGATTTGCGGCAAACCTTCACCCTCGAGGATTCTTGGGTGCTTTGGCGCGGTTTGACCGGAAAAGTCTCCCTGTGAGGCCCTGAGTGCCTGGTGGCAGCGCCAAGAAGTAATGCTTTTTGTGGGGCCACCATGAGACTCGTTTTCGCTCAGGACTGCACCTTGAAGCTAGCCAGCAGTTTTCTAATCTGGCGGATTTTATTGGGCCCTTTGGCTGCAGTCGCTTTTCTTTCGTGTTTGTGTAGACACCCGATCCGCCAGCGATCTGCTTGGCCAGCTGGATGTACGAGGGATTTGCCGTTTGGCTGTGGTCACGTTTATGGCTTTGGCTGTCAGGGTTCTTGGCGACGGTTGTATCAACAAGCAAAGAGGACGCTTTTGACGGAGTGAAGCTGGAGATTAGCTTCGCTGCTGGCTTCGGCATATCTGGCTCAGTCCGGTTTAGAGGCTATGGCTTTGGTGAGGAGTTCATGGCTGCACCTGTGTCGTCTGTTACGGAGGTGAGCGTTGTTAGCTCCACATAATTTGGACCCGTGCAGGCCTTGCAGGTGTGGCATTGCATACCGCGTTTTACGTTGGACGGGCAACCATTTTGCCAACATCTGTTGTGGTCAATCGATGGCTGCAGAAGGCAACCGGTGTAAACCGATTTCATGGTTAATACTGAATGCAAGATAGATAGCGAGCGCAAAATAACTGAGGTTATCTCTTAAAAGTTATTTAATAGTGATAAAAATCAATAATGACTCGTGTGTACGCTGTGAACAGATTGAAAAGCAAAAAATTCTTTCAGAAATCTGCACGAGGGAAAAACAAAACCGATTGCAAACGAGCCACGTCAGCTGCTTAATCCACAAATGCAGTTACTGCAAGACCCAATCTACCCTCATCCCAATGACGAAGTAAACTTGCCCTCATGGGGTCCGGTGTTTGACTTGGGTTTGAAGACATTCGAGGAGAGGATCCTTTTCTGGCACATGAAATTTTCTCTCAAATCGCTATGTGCGGAGTGCGATATTTGCAGTTAAATGTAACATTACTGTGTGAGCGAGCTCACACCAAAAGGGGCTATCACATGGAGCATGCCATATAATATGCCAACCACAAGTAGGGAACAAACACTATTATTATTATTATTATTATTATTAATCAGTTTGTTGTTAGCTGAGTCGATTCTTAGTTGATATTTTCATAAACCAGCATGTCCATTCTGTTCATTTCAGACGCCACTAGATCAAGGACTTTACTCATCAAAGAAGTCGTACGGCTGCTTGCTAGGACATGTGCAAACCCCAAAACACCTTGAAACAAAACTTTCCATCCTGCTCCGGCAGGACCATTTGATTTTCCTAGATGAGTTGAAAAGAAACCTTTTGCTCACGCGTGTGTGATTTAGTTCTTTAGCATGGCCTCCACAGTTTCACAAGGCAAATGGACCCCAAGCAACTGGTTGGTCACATAGGTGAGTTAAGATTGTCTGAACGTATGGCACAAGCAACGACAGCTTCGTTGTGCGGGTCAAACGAACTACTACGGTTTCTCCCTGAATCCTGGTGGGGTATAATCTTTGACGTCATACCAGAGAGCTGACATGAAATCATGTGACACTTCCAGGGTGTCAGCATCTTTTATCTTTTTGGTGAAACACTGTGAGTATACTTTATATTCCGGGAGTACTACACTCTTTTAATCCTGATGAATAATCAGAGATTAGGAAGTGCTTCTATCACGGTGATTTCTAGGAAGAATGCTTCTCCCAGTACGCAGACGAATTTCTACATACTTGAGGCGGATCATACCGCATATGAATTTATTTACAAGAGTAATCCTCCCGCATGTGCTGCGTCGAAGCACGTTTTGTGTGTTGCGGCTAATTCCACAACCTACCACAGCTAGCGCATTTCGGGTTAATCAGATCTTGCGCGTTGGCGCTTCACTTCACTTAACGGTGCTTGACTAGTTGAAATTTTTGGTCTTGTAAAATCGCCCAATAGAACAAGTGGACAAACGTACACTGGCGAGAAAAAGCGCGTTAAGCAAGGCACTTAGAGGTATCCATTAGTAACTCCGAAATTACCACGGATTCCGGAAAGCAATTTCCATTCACCGCAAGGTGGTCGACGATCGATCCATTAGTAAGTTGGGCTCTGAGTATTGTGGAGCGCCTGAGGAACTTCTGCCCCTTGCGTTTCGAAGACGTAAATCAGTCAGCCTCAGCCTTACTGATGGTGAGCATTAGTCAAAGTGTGTGTTCCATCCATGACCAAAGCAGCTGGTGTTCGAGCTGAATATTACTTTCAAAGAAATGGCGAAATTCTAATCGAACCAATCGTGTGTTCCATGAAAAACAGTTTCACTGCCATCAGTCAGAAGTGAGGCTGCATAAATGGTTCAATGAAAAGTTCTAGAACCTATGCGGAGGGCCGAAAATTTGCTCCCTGCTTTGCCAAGTCCATCCTCGTCTTCCATGAGGAGCGTTTCCTGTGTAACAACTATGAGGAAAGTCAAAATTTAGTAGTGTCTCATGGTCACCACTTTTTACCCAATGCAAAATCCGCTGAGCTTACTCAAGAATGACTCTTTTACTGGGTATTTTCTCGGCGGAAATCGATATGCGGCGTCCCTTTGAGACATGAGAGCTCAACACAAAACACCAAAAATTAGATGTTCTATTAATAAATCAACAAAGGTTTTCTGACTACCCTACATGATTTTGTCAATTGACCCATGGGTAGTTTGACGAAAACACAGGGCCTGGCTGACAGAGTCATGCAAACGTACAACTGCTTCCGCACACTAGTGAACCTAAGCCCACGCCCATTTCAGTCAGAATGCACCAGCTTGGCTTCTCCATGGCCGAGGGAGGCTCCTTTACCCAAAATCCTAATCTCTGGAATTAAATGCTCTGAGTAAAAGCATAGCATCTCCGCTATATATATGCTGATATCAAAAGGCACCACAATCTGCCTTCCATCCGGTGAATATCGAGCGGCTCCG